TCGCATCGGGCCCCGAAAATCACAGTATTGCCCTTCTTCCAAATAGAGACATCTTTTACTGTCGATTAATAGAGCTACACCATTAACTTGTGGTGTGATATGATATATCACAAAAAATGAGGCATTGCACATTAGTATTGTGTTTAGCTCACCGGATTAGACTGTATAAAGAATTTTCTAGAAAATTTTATGGATATTATTACGTAGAATGTAATACATTATGGTAGATTATGGTGAATAATATTATGGTACAAAAAAATGGAAATTAAAGAATAATTTTGCACATAACAAATGACTCTTTTCTGAATGAAAATTAAAGAATAATACTTACCTTAATTCACTATAATACTATTATCTAATAATTACATTATTATTTTATGTTAAAATTCTTATATGGTCTAATTCGATATGTCAAATGAAACCTAAATATCTGCCATTTCCGATATGTGATGATTCACTCAGCAACCATACGATGACTCCCCGGCAACGGCGCCAAAAACTTCATTTAGTCCATGTTTGACACACATTTTTTCAAAATACATTATTTCAATATTCTTTTTCAATCACACATTCTTCAATAAAATAATATTTTCTATATCAATAATTTGTCCTTACTTTTTAATTACATATTTCCCATTTTATCACTATTTAAAATACATTTTTTTTTCTGAATAATATCCATCAAATACACCATTAACGTTAGATGATAGAATATTTATTACAATCGATATGACCATAAAACACATTCAATATGTTAATAAAAATATTCAAATACCTAATAAAGAAGAGGGTCCCATCATGTTAGATTAATAGAACAAAATTTTTATCATTCTTTTAAGTTATATTGTCATATTATATTTGCATGCGAGCATAACATTTATTTTATTTGTCAATTATATTGGATTTTGAGGTACAAAAAATGGAAATAGCTTCGTTTTGCATGGAGAGAAAATGGCAGCACACGTGTTGGTGTGTAAAATTTTTCCTTTCTAGCCTAGAAAAACTCGAATATCACTCCACTCCAAATCCCATTATAAATAAAGATCGAACCTTTTGCTAATGCAGAGTCTCTTATGCCGAAGAGAGAGAATTGGCCGTTCAAATGTGTGTATCAGGTACGTATTTAATTGCACAAGATACGTAGATTTGTTGGGAATTTGAAATTTTTTTCGCTAGGTTTTGGAATCTGTATTACCGGCAATGTACAATTTTTATGGCTTGATTTTTTTAATCCGTTCGCATTCTGCATGGTTGCATGTTAAATTGATTCAATTTTGTTTTTGTTTTTGTTTTTCTGTTGGGTTTAATCAGATTTACGTGTCTCGTGAAAGATCTGCTTCTTCGGGAATTTGGTGTATGTAATTGGTATATCTCTTTAGTATTGCAAGAAATTGAAATCTATTTGATTATTTCAGCTGGGTATGTTTACAATTTGATTATTAATGTAAACATGTGCTATGGTTGAGTATTGAGAACTTGAAAATCTGATTGTGTTGTCATCGTCATTTTTGTATGATGACAGGTGCTAACTTCAGAGTAGCCATAAGGGACCATCCCATGAAAACTATAAAGGACATATTGTAGAAATTTTCTCCCAACATCACATAAATTAGCTATCCTTCCTGTAGCTATCACGACAACACTTAGCATGAGCTTATTTGTTAAATTTTGTCTCCACTACGATTTGGTGGAGAAGTTGGCAATAAAACTAGACACCTTTTTGTACGAAACATGCTCAATCGGTTAAGACGTTTATGACTTAGCTTCAGCAACTACGAACATCATGTTCTATGATGTCCATCTTATTGTGAGCCTAGCTTGTAGGTTCTTTATCAATTTTTACATAGTTTTAATGAGTTTGACAGTGCAATCTGTGATTCTAATAACCCGTATTTGGGGGATAAAAAAACTGAGAGATTTGAATCTTTTCAGCATGAACCTAGTCTATTTCTGCACATTAGGTTAAAAATGTTCCAATGTTCTCTCTTTATCCATGGTCCTTCCCAAGACACCGTATGGGACTTTTCTACTCATTGCAGCAATCAAATGCCCTCTACTGACAAATAACTTATCACTGTTTTCTCTTTTAGGGGATGTTCATCCAGATATAACATCAGTTTGCATTTTTATTCTTTTTCCCCATTGCTTTCCTTCTTTATTTCGTTTTTCTTGATTCTTTTTCTACACATTTAGGAATATATTTTTCGTGGTTCCATTGAAACCTCCTTTTTGAAATCGACAATATGTCTATGTACATACTATTTGTCATGCCAAAAATAGATAGTTAAATTTCCTGCAAGTTGGTTTTAAAAGAAAAATGTCCTTTTATTCATTATTAGTGCCATTTACGTTATGCTATGAAATATTTCTTTTATAAATTATTGGCTCTGACGAGGCTGGAAGTCATCATGCAATAGTTTGTGTGCACAACATGGTCACTTATGAACTACTTTTCCTGTTATTTGATTGCCTACAAAATTTTGAGGATCAAGTCGATCTGATAGTTGTCAAGGGTAGTAAATGCATGTTGTTCACACTTCTACCAAATAAATAAAGTTCCTTCATCACAATCATTGAAGAAATTTATCAATTTTATAGAAGCCTTTTTTGTGGCAACTGTTGATTTCCTTAAAAAAAAGAATTATCCTCTTGATATTTTGAAATCCATTTACAGAATCATCCATTGATTTTTGTTGTATTGCAACTGAGGGGGAATTCGGTACTTATCTAACAGTTACATACCATCACAAACTCTCTCCATAATTTGTAATATTCTTTTAATATAGTCTTATGCCTACTTATAGATGATGGTGCAGGCATTGAAATATCTTTCATGATGGAGGAAACTATTCGGACTCGATTCCCCTTTTCAGGACTGGATATAATTTTACTGTCATATCTTTTATTGACATATATAATTATGATAATAGCTAACCATAACTGCTTTCCCCGCTTAATAATTTTCGAAAAAGTAACATTTTCAGGTTTGTCTATCATGATAATATAAATATGGCTGAAGTATTTGAGTTTTGCTTGATTAGATGGGTGAAAATAGTAGAAGCATGAAGTGTAGAAACAAGTTTAGGTCCCATTGGTTTTTCATATTCAGGTATTCCAAATAGATCCCATTAACATAGCCATGGCATCTGTAATGCCACATCTGCATGATTGTAGAAAGTTCTTTAAATAAAGCCCAAGTTCAATGGAATATATTCACATATCTGTGCTTTAAGACACACCTCTCCCCATCCCACAAAAATAGCACACCAAGCATACACCTGATGTAAAACAAGGGAAGGAAATTCTTCATTATCCATTTAGTGCCTGTCTGTTTTAGATTATTTTCTCAAGAAAATCAATTGTTTGCCCCTTTTTTTCCACAAAATGGGGCCCACTATCACACAAGTTCTTCAAATATGGCGGCTGCAACGGTCAGAATTATGATTTCTAGTGGAAACAAACAAGCCCTTAATCTAGTTGAAAATGTATTAATTTACAGTGTTTACTTGTATGACTTATTGCTTCCGAACACAACAATAAAAAACATGTACTACCAAAAAGATTATTTTGACTAAACGAACTGTAAAATGTTATTAATCGTATTCCATAATATGCTATTTGCAGTAATGGATAGGGTGAGACCAGCTCATGTGAGGTAGAAGAGTTTGTCCAACACGAAGAATAGTGGTTCTCCATCAATGGCATCCCCAATGCATCGCCATTCACGCACAGTTTCATCTGGCATTACAAATATGAAGAGACCACAGAATACCAAAGCTGCTGCTCAGAGGCTTGCTCAGGTTATGGCACATCAGCCAGCTGATGATGATGAAGAGGAGGATGACCTTATGTATGACTATAGCCCTGCAATTCCATCAGCTGGAATAGGACTTGCAGGTGGACGGCCAACTAGAAACCGTTCGCCAATGGTAAGAAGCTTGTCATGCATGTCTTCATGCACAGCCTGATATCACATCTGTTCATCACTACATCTGCATTTCACCTGCTGTTGCATTTTTATGAGAAATCCTGATGTCAAGTGGATATTGACATTGGAAAATATTGTTCCTCCGTTCATATCCAATGCCATTTTTGCAAAAGTATGACTTCTGTTTAAAAGCTGTTGGTGTATCATTATCGCAGAATCCTTGTTTAAGACTTAGGTTACTCTAAATAGTTTCCATGTCGATTATAATAATTGATTGTTTCGGCGATCTGTTAGAGCATGTGTGTGGAGTTCACCATCCAGACTTCTTCACCAAAAGTAGAAAAAAATTATATTTGGCCGCATTGATATTTGAATAGTTTTGAATTTTTTGGGAACAAGTAAAATTTACCATGATTATTTACATTTTAAGTTCACTCTGTATTTTATAGGATTTGTTTCCGTCCCTTAAGTGTTACAGTTCCCTTTCAGTACTGATTTTGAAGCTGTTGTGTCATTTTTTAGTCAGTTCGTACATCCGTAGAACAACCACTATCTTCTCGTTCAACACCAGGTGCAAGAACATCTGCAACTATCTACTCTGTGGAACAGCAGCTTTCATCAGTTCGTACTTCAGTTGAACAACCACCATCTGCTCGTTCAACATCAGGTGCAAGAACATCTGCAACTATCAACTCTGTGGAACATCAACCTTCATCAGCTTGTTCACTCTCACTTCTTCGATCATCTCAAAACAAGTCTGCAGAACAACTTTCGTCTGCCTACTCTTCTGTGGCTGGTCATTCGTCTGAACCCACAGACTCAGTTGAAGAAGCACAACCACCATATGCTCGCTCTAATATTGGAAGATCATCTTCTACTGTCAACCTTGTGGAACAACCTCCATCTGCTCGTTCTGTGGCCAGTGTCCGTCCAAATTTAGGGGGCAAGACTGGTTTCATGGTACCTCCAAGTGTACCTCTGTCAGTCAAGCCAGCAGTATCTGGAATTCCAGCAGAGACTCAACCTGATAAAATTAGGGACAAAAGGTACATTGAAGCTTTAGACTCTGCAGTACTATCTCAGGGATCATTTTATCTCTCAATATGTAACCTATCATATGTACTCTCTTTTGCCTAAACCTTGGAAAAGTTTGATACGGTTTGTTATTCTATTCCTCCATCTTATAATGTCGAAATCCTTTTCTATTTGACCTTCTGCAAGAGCACATGGTAATACCTTTCTTTTTCTCTCAGTTGATTGACAATTGAAAGAACTATTAGTAATTCTGTTACTTTACAGGTTATCTTTAGATTTTGGGACTTTTAAATATAAAGAACCTGGTGACCAGCAGTTATCTTCTTCTGCTCTACAAGATGAGGTAGGATTGTGCATCAAACTAATTTTCTCCTACTCAACTTCATTCGCAGTTCCTCTTTTCTAATATAAAACTAATTTTTAGAGTACGTATTTGCCTATTCTTTATACTTTACATCAATTCTTTTTTTATAAAATTATTTTGTAAAGATGTGTACATAATTATGCTCGCACATAAAACTTTGCTCCATAAGTTACAGTCAGAGAGATTGTTCTATATCATATACGTTTTCCATTTCAGCAACACTAGCAAGAAATATTTTCACCTCATTTTATAATTATATTACTGACACAAGGTCCTTAAAATTACAGCTTGACATGCTTCAAGAAGAAAATGAAAGTTTACTGGAAAAGGTGATTCCATTTAGATGCTTACTTTCGAATGAATTATGTGTTTATTCTGTATTGCAACTTTTGTTTCATTAAAAAGATGATATGTTTTGATAATCAAATTGCTACACTGGTTAGCATCTCAAGATACACATGCTTTCAGCTTCGAATTGCGGAAGAAAGGTGTGAGGAGGCAGAAGCACGGACTCGGCAACTTGAGAAACAGGTAAGAATGCTAAATTCCTGATGTAGAAGTTGCAATATTTCTGATTTTCTTCGGAGCCTACACTTCCCAGATTTTAATTGACGTGAGACGTTAAGGTTTCTAATTTGCTATAACAAAAGAAATTAGTCTCTTAAAACTATGTGGTAACTATACTTTTTTCTTTCCATTTTGACATGTTCTTATTGGTTACATTTCTTTGACTATGATTTAACAAATGTTGCTTGGTCTTATTGTTAGATTGCAAGTCTAGGAGACGGTGTATCTTTGGAAGCTCGTCTTTTGAGCAGGCAAGGGATGAATTTTGAAATGCTTTTTCTAGATACAGTAGATTCTCTAGCTAATTTACTTTCATTTATCTTTAATTTTTATATTACAAACTCTGCAGGAAAGAAGCAGACCTTCAGAAAAGGGAGGTATGTATGAGAAGGAATGCTATTATTTTCCAGTGATTCAGGTTTTGTATGCATATAGGTTGAAAATTATTTTGATGAAGGTTAAAATTGTCATAAGGCAATCTGAAGTTACTTTTACAACTCTAGGAGTTGAAACTTGACAGTTTTTATGAACTTCAGTCATCTTATTTATTCTTTTATCTGAGCATGTTATTGTTTCACATATTTTTGTATTGACAAGTCAGTCTGTGTTTTTCTTCTATTAGGAAATACACTACTTTGTTAATCTAAAGGAAAGCAGTTTAAATCTGTAACTGGGGATGCCTTTGACATGGCAGGCTGCTCTTAAAATTGCGACAGAAACCTATGGTGGAGCAGGCGAGGAGCTTGCAGCCCTTCGAATGGAAGCCGAGGTAATCAGACTCCACCTTGCGTGTTTTGTAGTCGTCGTAATTTTTTTCTTTGGTCTTTACCTTCCATGTCATTATTTATTCTTAAATTTTTTTTGTTAGTTTTGAGATTCATAATCAATAACAAAATTTAGGTGCACTGTAATTTAATTACTCTAATTCTAATCAGACCGCCAGGGATGAAGCTATTTCAGCTTTGGAGCTGCTACATGATGTTGAGTGTGAAGTTAAATCACTTCGGACAGTGACTAAAAGAGTTATTTTGACTAAAGAAGAGCTGGTATGTACCAATTAAAATATTACATGGCTTGTACTCCTTACATTCTGTATGACATACTTATGTGATTCACAGTTTATAACTATAGGAAGAGGTTGATCTCAAGAGGTGTTGGCTTGCTCGATACTGGAGTTTATGTGTTCGCTATGGTAATTTTACTTAACCAGCTGAATTTAGAGCACAAATTATTAGCATTGATGTCCATTTTGTCATTTTTGTGTTCTCCTTAATGTGTGTAATGAGTTATGTGAATGAAAATTTTAGTAGAGCATAAGATGACATTAACATGAGAGAGAGAGATGAATATTGGTCAAAACGAGGACAGGGAAATGTAGATTGTGTAAAAGTTATCTAGAGGGAAGAACTGAATATATAACAAAAATTGGAATTTCTTGCTGGTTTTAAATCTGTTTAAAATTCATCTATTGATTTGTTTATAAAAATCAAGTTCCAAGGGCTTCTAAATATACTTAAAAGAGAATATTACTATCAAGCATGTACTAAGCTATTTTATGAAATGAGGAAGATGGAGAAGGGAAAACTCTAGTAATGGTTGGTCAGTATAAACATCCAATCTCTACTATCAAAGTCACCCCCCAAGTATTTCAGCAATTTCCATGTGGAACAGGAGCAGCAACTGCCCTTTTACTTGAAGGTTTTATGTTATCATTTTTTTCTCTTTCAAACATCATATTTCTAAATGGGAAATTATAAAAAATCAGGGGTTTAAAGATAGCTTTTTAAAAATCAGGTCCAAAGTTTACTTATTCAAAAATTAGGTAATATATTAATACCTTAACTCTAATTTATCACTCTCAACTCCCTCACGTCTCTCTCTCTCTGCTTCCTTATACCGCCGGAACAATGAAAGAACCTATTCCCATGGAAATGTCGGAGCATTCGATAAACCATACACAGAACCCCCAAAAAGGAGAGAAACATAGAGCCCCAAAGTCGAGAGTAGTCAAGAGAGGAAGAAGAAGAGAGTGTCGTACGGAGGAAGCCAATGTTATATTCAAAGTATTGACCAAGAAAATGTCTAACCAAGAATAAAACCCAGCCATAGATTAAAATCCAAGGGTCACAAATGGTTCCAATAAAACACACAATCCGGGTCATCTTAAAGTTATCAATAAGTGAGTGCCACTTAAGCAACAAGAAGAATGGGTAATAAATCGGCCCAACAAGTTAGGAGAACCACAAAAGAGGCCCAATAAACTCACAAAATTAAATCAGAATCTCTCTGTACAAAGTAGCCTACAATCACTCGGAAATCATTTTATACAAGCGAAATACAATTATTGTCTATCATATTACAGTTGTATCTACAATATATGTTAACATTTGGGTTTTATTAAACGACATGGAAAAAGAGTTTTGTTGTCTGGAATATCCCTAACTTGGAGATAAAGCATTCTTGAGAGTGTCTAATGCTTCTTAAATATCGTACGGAACAACCTTTTGGTATCTTGACCAACAAAATTGTCAAATCTAGCTGTTTTATGCTATAAAATTTGCTATATGAGCACCAAGCTTTCAAGTGATTCTCTTTTTATCGTTTTCCCTCCGATGTACTTCTGTTTCTCTCTCTTTTCATTTCCTTGGGCTTTGGCCTGGGGTGGCTGTAGTAGCAAACAATACAGGAAGAGGCACCTTGACTTTCACTTGGAGTTTTTACCAATTTCAATTTGCAATGCACTGCAGGTGTTCATGCAGATATAGCTGGTGCAAAATACGAATACTGGTCATCCTTTTGTCCCCTTCCTACTGAAGTTATATTGGCTGCTGGACAGAACGCAAAAGATGAAAACTCAATTGGTAAGATGCCGTCTGCTCTGTTTTGCCTGGATAGTAGTTCAATCTATTGAATGAGGTTTGACAAGAATTGGAAAAGATAAAGTGGAAACTCCAAATAGTAAAGCATAATTTTCTTCAGAATTTTTTTTTAGAATTGAGATTTTCTGAATTTATTCCTTTTTGCACCTAATCTGTGTTATCTTTGTTAACTTTTACATGGGTTTGATCCCTAAATGCATGGACTTAGTTACAAATTCGGTAAATATGTAAATTGAGTCCTAATAGAAACTCAAGTCTTCTGTCAAAGAGTCCAAGCTTAGACACCTTCCCTGAAATTTTTCCTCTCTTGCCCATTTTAGCTGCACACAAGTATAATTTACCCAAAAAATTTATTTGTGATTGCTGAAGTAACTTTTCCTTTGATTTTGTTAGTCAGATAATATTTGTATCATCTCTATTTGGCAGTTCACAATGATGCTGAAGAAAGGGAGAAAGGCACACGATATACAAATGATAATTCAGGAGATGCCAGCATTGAGAACATGCTTTTAGTGGAGCAAGGTCTTAGGGAACTGACGTCGCTCAAGGTTCTATTCCAAATTCATTCATTTACTATAGAATTCTTTCATAATTGAAATATAAAATTTTCCATTATTCTTTAAGGAGTAAGTGGACTAAAACTTAGACATTGTCATCTGCTTTTTGCTTCATTAGCATTATATTCGGTAAAGGAAGATATACATACTGTAAGATTGAAATTTTCATATATCAGTTGCGTTGTCTGTCAGGAGATTGCACTATTTGTTAATCCAATGTTGTCTTCATCCATGTTGCATTTAGAACACTCTTCCACTACAGGATGCCGTTCTCTTGAAATCAATAATGGAACTCAATTTTATCCTTCTATAGATGCTTGATCTGTTGTATGCAACGTTCCAAACATGAAACTTGATCGTTTGTTATTTTTGGTCACCTTTTCCTTTTAAAGGTAGAGGAGGCAATAGCCATATCAATGGCCCAACAGCGATGCCCAAGTGCAGTAAAATCTAATGGTATGAAATGGAAAATGCTCATTTACTGAATTCTTCTTTCCTACTGGAAAAGTTAGTAACACGACAGCCTACATTACGTAAGAACTGCTCTTTTAGTTGACACTAGACCATTATATTTTTGGTTATGCATCTCGATTTTTTGAGATTGCAATGAAATGAAATAACAGTAATCTTCTAAAGCATTGCAATGTATATTTCCAATTTCTGAGAGCAAATCTTGAAGAATTATATGATACGACTAGATGGACTTGTCTTCACTGCAGTGATAACTAAAGTAGTGGATGCTTTTAGGAAGGTGCACTTGCAGACGCATTATTTTAATAGCCTGTGATAGCATTACTTGACAGCTTGTTCTTGTACCAAAAAGTACATAAGAAACATTAACCTACAGATAATCAAGCCTCTCATTTAAAATTCTACATAAACCTTCTCCTATCATTTAAGTAACAATTGTTTCTCTTATAATCTATAATGTTGCAGATGAAAAATTTATTAATTGTATGAGATGTTGATGACATGAAGAAATATCAACCTCAATAATTGCTGTTGCACTGAAATATTCATAACTTCGAAGTATATAAATTTTTTCTGTATTGCTCTAACCTTCCACTGATTTGCTAATGACTAAAGAGAATTACCTTCTTGGGAAAATGGACAAGGAGACCTCGTGCAGTTTGTAAGATTTAACAAAAAGAAATTCCAGTTATTGCTTAATGTATAGTTTAAATGATTTTAAGTTGTAATGGTGTGAAATGAAATGTAAACCTAGAGATACACTCGTGTACTTTCACAAATGCATAATAATAATAGTATTAGAAAATTTCTTTTGTAACTAATATAACAAGGAAGTTCTTCAAACACATTATGAATAATTAAAGTACAAAAATATTAGCTCAAAGAAGTGGAACGAATTAGTTCTCGTAAATCTAGTTTTAATTACAGTAGATTATTAGTTTTTAAATATTAACTAAACAAGGGCCATCTTTATGATTTCACAAGCCAAAGTGATCTTTTGTGATTCCTCTTCTTTCATTGGCTGTAGATGAATTGAAGCTACCGATTGAAGGGCAGGATTTTTCAGAAGCATTTGGTATGTTCAGGATTTTTCAGAAGCATTTGGCATGTTTATCTTATATTGAGACAGATAGTTAGTATCACACAATTTTTTCAAAATGAGTTACCAGATACAATGAGACCATTCTAAATGAAACTGTTTCTTGTAGTTTATAGACTGCTATCTTATTTCTTCTGTGACTTGTTTTTTTGTTTTTCTCAAGAACCCTAAGTGTAATTTTATCAGATTACTTGAACTCTAAATCTTCCGTCTACCCTTATCAGCTTTGAATTGTCAAAATCCATATTTTGACCATTGATGCCTTTTCTAACAAGATATATAACTCCAATCTCCATTGCCCCCGATCCCCAGCAGTACAGTACCTTCACTGTTTGTTCAATGAGCTTCCAGAAACTAGTTTAGTGCTCCGCCTCCAATACATTTTCTGTATTTTTGTTTATAATGTTTTGGATAAATGAGGATCTTAAAATTCCACATATGTTGTATGGAGTGGTTTTTCATTGCGCCTTGCTATGTATATTATAGTTTTGATGCCAAATTATAAACAGAAAAGCATACTTGTTTCAGAGTTAAGCAAAGAAGAGGCTGAAGATGTTTTCATCAAGCGGGTATGTTTGCAACTAGAACTATAGATTTCTTATCTTCGAGGAATGTTTAAAGAGCCGTGTATCCTACTTCTAGTAGTATTTTCTGTGTTTTCTATTCAGTGTTCTCTTTGGTTGCTTTGGCTCGGTGCGATGATTGTGAGATCCATTCCGCTTTCCACTTAATGCTTAACGTTCTTACATTTTATCTTAAGAACTAATGAACCTAATGGCTATTTTGAGTCTCATTGGATTACTCAATTCTTCTACAATGAAAATTAGTAGAAGTCCTTGAAATCAATCAGTAAATCCTACAAAGAACGATACTTTTCAAATAGCATACATGAGATCACATGGTCTATGTTGAATCGCCCGAAATTATTCTTATTATTGTATAGTGAATATTATTTCAAAAACTTTTTGAGTTCTCCTATTTTAGCCTGTGATTTATAAATTGCTTCGGTACAAAATAAAAAACGATCTCTACAACGGATAAATGTCTAGGAGTTCTGAAAATGACTTGTAAACTTTATTATGACTATCCTTCATTGGTTGTCCATGGATTCCATTATCAAGAACGTAGTCAATGTCCTTGAATCTATTCTTAAAACCTTTTTTCACTCATTAGCTATGAGTCTAATATACTATAAACGTATTTTGGTGGGTTTGATGAAAATTTAATATTGATTACCACTTAACCTAGTTGAAATTTGTTTAAGAAAATTTGTTTAAGAAAATTCAAAACTAACTATAAGGCATTATCAGATGGTAAAAATAAAAGGCGGAAAACTGCTCTACTTTCAAGCTCGTGAATTTTTACCATAGAATTTAATTTACTTCCTTGAAAAACTGAAGTGATGCCAATATGTTGAGCTCTGTTAGGCATGGTTGACATATTTTTGGAAAAGAGCGAAAAATCACGGCTTGGAACCAGATATAGCGGAGGAACGTGTACAGTTCTGGATCAACCAGGGAAGTAAGGCACTTACTTCACATGATGCGGTCGATGGTACTCTCTCTCCCTGCTGCTGTGCATGTTTCTGCAACATTACATCTTGTAATATTTGTCATAAATTCTAAGAATCAATGTATCTTTTATCTCGGAAGTATCAACTTGCGATGAATGATTATATATTTCTTTCTTCTCAAAAGATTTTTGATGAAAATTTGGGTTGGAGGGTTCTTTTCCTTATCTATACCACACATGTTTTTTCTCCTTTTCATTTTCCTCTCTTCATTCGTATATCCATTCACTTAGGGAGGGGCAAGCGTGCGTGTGAGAGAGAAAGAAAGAGAGAGATCCAATGACTTGTGGAATTCAAATAAGCTGAATAGCCACGTTAGTACTTCGAAATAATGATACAGGAATATTAGACTATAGATGTTGCAAATAAGTATAACTCCAAGTAACTCTTGTGAATTTGCATCATTTTGCTTGCATTTTACAGTTGAACGTGGTCTAATGGAGCTTCGGAAGTTAGCAATCGAGGCCAAATTGTGGGAAGAATCTCGTAGATCGATTGATCCAAACTCCAAGCGCAAATCACAACTAGACGTTGAATTTTAACAATAAATTAGCTGAGATTTTCTTTAATCGTCTCTCATGACTATTTACTTTCCTTATTCTTCCTGTAAATACTATTGATTTGTTCATCTGCTTATTCTTTCTGAGCTTATGAGTCTATGTTTACTCGATGATTATGTCGACCTCTTGTTCGAAACTTGTAGAACCAAGATTTATTCAAGGTCCCTACGTGTATTTGAAGTTGAATGAACATTTTTTTTTTTTTTGGTTTCGATCCCTTAACTTTGATGTTCTTATCACCTAGAATTAAAGAGTGCTACAAAGATTCAAATTTGACATATTTGTAAGAAGGAAATGATAAAAATTCCCAACGGCATATTTGACAATAAGATTGAATAATATTTGGAAACAAAAAAAAAAAAAAAAAAATCTTGTTCTTTATAAGAGTACGACGTTCAAAACTTGCATCAATAGACATTGAACATCATAAACAAGCTTATTGCCTTTTAAAAATTTTGTTATATTTGAAAATACTTTCAAGGAAACTTTTACTTAATTAATATTTTTTTTATATTATGAAAATTAATAGAATTTTTAAGCCATATTACATAGGGATGTTTTCCCTTAGAATTTCCACCACAGAACTTGCCATTAAATTTTCTTTACTTTTGGAATAATCTTCTCATATTCTAAATCAAACAGTAATTATTTGTTTGAGATACAGAAAATTTATTCTATTATATTTCACATATTTTATTTTTTTTTAATTTTATCTCAATTTTTATTCATTTCATTCAATTCATTATATTTTTAACGATAAACACCAGCATGACTATTAGATACTAACGATCATCCTACATTGCTGGTAAAAAAATTATATAGACGAAGTAATAATTTTCATAAATGCATTTTGTAGATTAAACTTATGAACTTAAATAACCCAAAAAGTAGAATTTTCGGTTGTATCACTTCTTTCATGCCATTTTTACGGCTCCATAGGATGATCTTTTATATTTAATGATCATGTCTGTGCTTGATATCAAACAATGAGATGGAATTAATAGAAAAAACTTAAATTAAGACAAAATTATAGTAATCGTAACCCAATTGATACGTAATCAAAGTATAACGATCCAATCATAGAAGAAGATGACATTCGTTTTATAAGAAATAGAAGAAATATCGAAAATTTAAGTAGCTAAAGTTAAAGTGGCTAGATAACAGATTAAAAGTAACAGTTAGAATATGAGAGTTAGAGTTGAAAATATGATTTCTCACTTCTCTCTCATTCAAAATTGTAAGAGCCTGTTTGGTGCACATTAAAATGAGAGAATTCATTTTTTTGAAGTGATGTGATGGAGAATATGTGGTTGAAAATAAAGGAAAGGTTATTGATGTGATGGAAAATATTATTCTATTAAAAAATGTGTGATTGAAAATGAGTAGATGATTGAAAATGAAAAAATAATGTGGGACAAACGGGGGCAGACTTTCATCTGACACTTCTCGTAAAAAATAAAAGAAAGAACTTATCTTTGGCGACCGCCAATAAAATTACCCTATTCATGTCTTCACCAATGATCACAAATGATGAGGTAAAAAGTGGAAAAAATTAAAAAAAGCAAATAGTTTGTCCCAAAATGACAATAATAGTGTTGGGGAATCTCACTGTACGCATCATAATTGGAGGGTAATTTGCCCCACTTCAAAAAAAGCCAATCCACCCTCCTTTGGCGCCCCTACACGGAGGTAGATTCTTTCCGGTCCTGCCACTCCTCCCCTTTGCTTCTTTCCATTGGTTTCTTGATTGTAAAAGCTTCGTTTTATCTGCACAAAAAATTCTGTCTATTGAACTATATGAATATGTATAATTAGAAATCTAAGTGTTCAGACTGTATGTTTTTGCAGGATTTCATTTCAAGGTTTGTTTTTCTTTTGTGGGCTTCACATTTTTTTGAGTAAATTTATTGGGTTTATCTTATTTTTCTCAAATGAAAAGTTGTTTTATTCATCATTTTGCATGACGTTTTTAATAAGTTTCTGTGGGGGGAATTCCGGTAATTCTCGTTCTGGAACAGTGAAAGACATTCTGCTTTGAAGAAGGGAAATTTGTTATTATTGTGAAAGATTTGATTTAACCTTGAGAAAAAAAGATTTGAAAATTGGTGGTGTTCTTTGGATATGGGGAATAAATTGGGGAAGAAGAGGCAATTGGTGGATGACAAGTACACGAAGCCTCAAGGATTATACCAAATCAAAGATGTGGACCAAAAGAAACTTAGGAAGCTTATTCTCGACTCGAAGTTAGCACCTTGCTACCCTGGTGACGAAGAATGTGGTTGTGACCTTGAGGAATGTCCCATTTGTTTCTTGGTACGATTCTCTATCTTCGTCGTCATTTTTCATTTTTCAATTTTTTTTATGGTGTGATTGCATTTTCTTATTGCTTACAGTGAAATTTGGTTCATAGGATTTCTTGTAATTGTCTGCTTATGTATACATCTTTTTGGAGTAATTTTAGTGGTTATTTGATGGATATGAGAAGTTAGGGAATTGAAAAGGAAGTTGGTTTTGCCATTTAGGTAATTGGACTGGTTTTTGAATATTTTTTAGCCAATTAATGTTGCTCAAGGAGAAACTTGAGTTAAAGTATTTTACGGAGTCGTTGTTTTTTTAATTAAGAATGAGAGTTGATTGAATTATGTTAGTGCACTTTTTGATTGTTCAACAATTGAGACTTCTATTTGTTCATGTACTTTCCTTAGTAGAGCTATATAATTATATTCTTGATGTATGACAAATTACATTGTTCCGACATGTATGACATCTTTCCTTTTTAATGTAAATTGCCCTTCGTTTAATATTTTATTTTGTGCTTGTTGTTATCAGTACTATCCAAGTCTTAATCGGTCAAGATGCTGCACAAAAGGCATTTGTACAGGTATATCATATATGATTTGCATTTTATTTCCTAAATTTGCTTATCTTTGTAGTCACCGACTTGGACGATTTTCTTTAATCTGATTCTAATAATTTTGATTATTTCCATGCATTAGAGTGTTTTTTGCAGTTGAGGACCCCTAATTCTACCCGGCCTACACAGTATCCTTGATTTCTATCGGTTGCAGTTATGTCTCGTGAAACGCTTTCATCGATGTTTTGTATTCACTATTACTTTAAATTGTCATTTTCTTAATGGTTACCTTAACCTTAAAAGGTGTCCTTTCTGTAAAATGTTAAATTATGCAGTGGAGTATCGAGGTATTAGGACAAAGGAGGAGAAAAGCTTTGAGCAAATTGTAAGACTGATGTTATCCTAATTCCCTGTTAGACTTTTCTCCTTTTTTTTTGGGGTGTATCAAACAACATTTTAGCTACACTATTGAACTTTGCTCATTTGTAGGAAGAACAGCAGGTTATAGAAGCCAAAATAAGAATTAGAAATCAAGAACTTCAGAATGAATACGAGAGGATGCTCAAACGAAGGGAAATTCGTTCTTCAAGCAGTAGAAGATCAAGTGAGGTTGACAATTGTTCAACAACAGGTATATGATATGAGCCTGATTTAGTGGCTGTATTTCACTTTCTCTGTATAACTCACTTTTTCTGTCTTCAGAACTATTCGTTGCTTCGGCTGTGCAAGGCGAGGAAGTCGTTACATGTGAGGAGTCTCATGTTTCTTCTGCAGTAACGCCGCCTTCACGTCCAAGGCAAAATATATATGCAATTATATGCGTTATCAACTTACTATTGTCTTTTATGTTTTTACGTACTTCATTCTTAGTGGTCTGTGATCATGCATTCTAAAAATATGTGGATATTGATAAGTGGCTATGTATATAGATCGTAATTAGCTAAAAATAAAACTAAAACTAATTTTCCCTTTCTTATGAGTTTAGCCCCTGTTTATGACTCTTTTTTCTTTAAATTCATTTTCAAGCTCACATTTCATAAGACCCACAAATTTTATCAACTTTTCAACCACGCATTTAACCAACTTTTATCAAAATCAACTAAAAATCTATTTTTTATCCAAACCAAACAGGGGGTTAAATGATTAGTGGATAGAAAAATATATGCTAGAAGGAGCTTGCTAGAGATTTAGCTGCAGCAAGTCCCATATTGTTATCTTTCATTTGGTCAAATGCATCAGGATATCTCTAAACTTTTCTAAAAACAATTTGACAATTGAGTCACCTGACAACCTGATTTATGCCATTTCATGTTCTGCTATTGGATGGGATGGGGTTTTAATGTTCATTTTTCTGCAAGTTACCAGATTTGACTAGGGATTAACAAAAAGTTATTTATATAAATTATATAAAAAGGAAAAAGCACCATAACGTGATTGAATGGAAGCTAGGCAACTCTTTTTTATTATAAGATGAATGAAGCTGCATCACTCGGTGCAACAAACAAATAGCTTAGGTAGAAAAAAAAAAGCATTTATAGATAGATGGAAGCAAAATCTGCCCTGCCCTGTATGGATAGATGGATATGTCCATTTATCTTTATCTTCTAGTTGTGAGTCTATTATATCAATTTAAGCTTCCGAGTACTCAATAGAAATTCCAAAAGAACTAGGAAGCTAGCTTGTACAAAGGGGGAAGCTAAGCCGAGGTTGAGTGTTCGATCTAATAAGCTTGTTTTCAGTCTGCCTTTTTTTTTCCAGGAAAATTCTAGTACCTATTGTCATATTGTAACATCGAGTAGGCCTATGGGCTCTGGTTATGGTAATCTATTGACTTCTGAAAGGGAATATTTGTTTATGTTGCAATTTTAAATTACAAGGTAGGTCACTTCAATTTTAGAAATTGGATGATGTTTTCCTCCTTTCATCTCTCTCGAACTCTTTCAAAGACAAACCAAAAAACCCTGGAAATCTTTTCGTGCTACATTTGCAATTCTTTGTTTTCTATATATTCTTTCCTTAGTACATAAAAAAAATGTTCATTACATGGATTTACAAATTCATATGGATAAAAGATTGTGGAGTTGGTTAATGTTTAGTATATTAAGAAACTATTCTATGATTATTAGATGATTTGCATGTCTCGTCCTTTCTCTATTGCTCTCTCACCCTGACTTCAAATTCAGGGAGGACGTGGTTGAAGTGGATCTTGAGGACATAATGGTTATGGAAGCCATTTGGCGGTCTATTCAGGTAATCATATGTACAATCAAGCATAATTTTCATGTTCAATCTGAGAAAATATGCAGCCTTTCACAAGCTATACTTATTTTGGAAGTCATATGAATATTTTAACATTGGACGTGGCTAATCCTCTACTAAAGTTTCTTAATTGCATATTTACGTGCTCTTTCTAGTCTTTAAAAATGGCATCATTCACACTGAGCATTATAATCTGTTTTTTCACATTGTTGCACATTTGTCTTTAATTTTGTGGCATAGTGACCTAGAATTGCTTCTTGTGCAATGTGATCATAATAGGAGAAAGGCAGGCAGCAAGAACCCTCGCCATATAATGATGCAGCTCTATCACAAGAATACACGGTGGAGAATCGTGTCTCGTCAAGGATGGCTCCAATGGTTGGATCATCATCGTCTTCTTCTGGAGGACTTGCTTGCGCAATTGCTGCCCTTGCTGAATGTCAACAAAAGGGCCGAGAGCCCTCCAATAACTATGGAGAGAACACATCTGCATATAACATGCCGGACTGTAGCCGGATTTCAAATTCTGTGGAACAAGAATCTGAACATACTTTTCTGGCCGAGTCCGCCATTGTGATGTCACCCAATAGCCAGTCAGCTGGTCATGCAGATTGTGATGAATTTGACGATAATGTTAGCCCTGCTGCACTGCCCGAATCAACAGAGAGTGAATGCAGCTTTCAACCTGCTGTAGGGACTATTGTTCCTGAGAGTTTTGAGGAGCAGATGGTGTTAGCCATGGCTGTTTCTCTGGTCGATGTTTAAGCCTCGACTAGTACACCAAGCATTGGGTAGCCCTAGTTATGGTACCAAGAGTTCCTTGAGATTCTCTCGTTTCTCTATTTACACCTAAAAAGAACGTAAAAATGGAAAAACAGTAAAAATGATTGATGTGAATGAAGGTGGTTTGCTGATTCTGTTTTTCTAAAATTTTACGTACCATCCTTGTTCATTTGTGTAAGAATATATATTTTTTAATTAATCTGCCTTAGAACATTCTACAGCCGTGCATTGTCTCGAATTTATTGTCGACAGACGGGAAATAATTCGAAGTACTTTAAGAAGAGAATCTTCATAGGTTTCTAAATTCTAGCTCAATGTTCGGGAACAAGGATTTGAGGCATTATCATAATGCACAGTTGGATTATAAATGTTCGGTCAATGAAGTTTTACTCATTGAATCGGCCTGTTCTCTTTGTCGTTTTCGAGCCGTTTTCTGTTTTCGATTTTCGAAAATGCCAAAAACGCGTTTTCTTTCCTATTTTTGAAAACAAGTTTTTGAAAACACAAAAACAAAATTGCACTGAAAACATAAAATGATGTTTTTAACGTTTTGGATGTTTTCTGTGCAAAACTCGAAAAATTTTGAAAACGCGTAAAACATAGCCTACTGTTCCTATATGACCCATTTCTTCCCCAACCCAAATCCGTTCATCTCTTCCGTCTTCTCTCGTCTCTAAAAAAGAATAGCTGGTGATCTCCTATTCTTTGCAACCGGACGCTGCTGTTGGGTCGGTGTCGGCACCGGAGTGGGGACTAGGGAGGCAACGCTGCTGTGAACACAGCATCGCGAGCCATTCGTCGCGACCCATGGGAGGCGATGCTGCTGTGGACTTTCGTCTCTGTCACCTTTCTTTGACGTGACGACGTTCATCTCAGCCTTCTCTCTTCTTTTTCTGTAGTATTTTTTGTTTGGGCGTTTTTTGGTTGTACTGATTTTGGTGGTGGTAGATGGTTGATTGAGGTCAATTTTGGAAGTGGTTGAAGGTGGTGGTAGTGTTGATTTTGGCAGTGCAAAGAGGTGGTAGTGGTATTGATTTAGGTCAGGTAGGGCAGTGGTTGAAGGTGGCGGAGGTGGTGTTGATCCTCTGTCGATTTTGGAAGTGGTTGAGGGTGGTAGTGGTGTTGATTTTGGCAGTGCAAAGAGGTGGAGGTGGTGGTATTGATTTCGGCAGTGGTTGAAGGTGGTGGTGGTGTTGATTTTGGCAGTGCAAGGAGGTGTTATTAATTTTGGCAGTGGTTGAAGGTGGTGGTGGTGATTTTGGCAGTGGTTTATGGTGTTTGTGGTGGTTTCTTTAAAAAATTATTATACACAAAACATTGATTTTAGTTTCAAAATAAACGTATTTTCTAGTTTCATGTTTTCAGAAATAGTTTTCCAAAACAACAAATAGAACGCATTTTCAGCAATTTTAAAACAGACACACAAAACAAATTCAAAACTCAAAACAGAAAACTGAAATATAAAGAGAACGACACCTTAGGGGTTGTTCTTTTTGCAGTTTTCATTCTGTTTTTTTTTTTTTTATTTTCTAAAACAGTGAAAACACGTTTACTTACCTATTTTCAAAAACGAGTTTAAAATTTACAAAGAAAATCGAAAACGTCAAAAATGTCGTTTTGAATGTTTTCAGTTAAAATTAAGTAAAAATTTTCAAAACGCATTTTGGCTGTTTTCAGTTACGCCACCAACAAAAACTACTACCATCGCTGCCTGCACCACATCACCGTCGCTGTACGCCATAACCACCGTTGATGATGTTGCGACCTAAAACCACTACCACCGCCACAACAGCAGAAGAAGTCGACAACGTTGCGACCCAAAACCATCGCCACAAAAGCAGAAGAAGCCGGCGATGCCGCATCCAACCACCGCACACCACCATCACACTCACACCAACCACCACATAAAACAACAACAAAAAAAGAGACAGAGAAGCTGGCGATCGCAGGGAGCGCCGCTCACTGCTCATCGTGACAACGCCGCTGTGGTCTTCGACGTCGACCTTGCGAGGGAGAGAGAGAGAGAGAGAGAGAGAGTTTTCCAATTTTTTTGTTTTTGAAAATAATTTTTCAAAATGACAAAAAGAATACATTTTCAACTATCTCAAAATGGACACTTAAAACACAAAATCCAAAATAAATACAAAACTCAAAACGAAAAAATTGAAATACAAAGAGAACATTCCCTTACCTATTCTTAACTGAAAAACATTCATTTTTCAAAAAAAAATGACTTGCTTGTAAGTAAACTTTATAAGCGTTGCCAGGAATGAAACACGCAATTTTATAAATATTTGAAGAGTCATGGTTTGGCGTCTTCGATTTCTCGGTGTTAGTTGATTGGGGTTGAATCAATCATTCTCATCTTCCCATAATGTCTTGATTGTAATGACTGCTAGATGTTGAAATAGATCAGTATAGTTTGGCTGAATTTGAGACACATAATTAATTGAGCTTTGTCCTTTTAATATGTATATGAGGTCGCAATTCTTTGTCCTCTTAGCTATCTCTAATCACGTAAAAATAACAAAATTAATTGCATTTCATGAAAATGTTACACCTTAAAATTGTAGCAATGAGATACTTGAACGGGGCATTTGTTCGTTATCACGTTCGTGAATCGATTGGAATGGAATGATGAATCTATTTCTCCGTCTCTTTGAGAATAAATCAGAATTATGGTGGATATGAGATTACAACGACCATTACATCTAATTCGGTTAATGTCCGAATAATCAGAAATAGTGAGACGGCTAGTAGAATAGTCATATTGAGACAATAAATCTGAAAATATAATTGATCTAGATGTCAAAGTCTTACTTGCCATTCAAACAACGTATAAAATAATTTCTTTTCCAAAGAATAGGTCCAGAAGTTATCAAATAATGAGAATTAGGTCCTCAACTTTTTACAAGAAACCCGGAAAAAATACTGAGAAAAAACAAGACGAGTAATGCCATTTAACATTAAAGAGCCAATTTCATTTGTGGTAACTACACATTTACTCTAGTATCAGTTAAGTATCTACACTTCAATTTTATTAAATCGAGTAACTACACTTTAATTTGATTTCTATCATGGTAACTTTATCCAATTCCTCATAAGAAATTTGATTAAACACCAATCTATAAATGATCGTCGTCACACATAATCGTTAGTTGCTGATGTGAAAGAAGTACAATTTATGTGAAGTAATGACGAACATCATTTATTAACTACAACTTAATCATTTTCACCCGTCCAAGTGATGAAATTGGATAGAGTTAACCAATTGAAATCAAATTGAAAGAGTACTTACCCAATTAAATAAAATTGAGTTACAATTTAATATTGATATCAAATTAAAGTATAATTACTGCGAATGAATTTTACCATAAAATTAAATGAACGTTGCTATGCATACAGGGCCAAAAGGCCCTGTACGCTGTGAGGAGGACAGATGTCCCCCGGGTATAGGTGGGGGTAGGGTACGTATGGTCTTTTTTCAAATTAAATTGAAAATCCAAAAAATAGATACCACATGGTACATTTCGCTCGAGTGATGATGAAGTAGCACGTGCCGAGACCTCCATAGGCTTAGTTGCCACCACCTAAAGCTAACATACTCGCTAATTCCCATTTTTTATTTTTTCATTTCTTTTCACACCAAATTGGTTATGTTACTCTATATTTGAAGCATGTGACTTTTGTGGGTTATTGTAACTCTTGGTAAGCATTGTTTCACATCTATATACACATTGATATTATGCAGGAATAATGTCATTTATTCCTTTTGATTTTCCTACATTAAAAGTCAATCACTTGCAACTTTTTTGCTTACAAAAGGAAATGTTTTCACTTCGAAAACAATAGTAGAATGAGAAAAAGTGATTGAGATTCAAATCAGAGAAAGTTTGCAATGAAAATTGTGTAATTATTCTGGAAGCACGACAGACTATTTATAGACTTAGTTGTGGTCATCAAGCATCCTTCAAATCTTTTAAGAATAGTCGTCACTGTTCAGATAGCCTCCAAACTTGAACATACAGCATTGTTCAGTATGAAACACTGGTTACGTTACGTTGTTTAACAGACAATTCAAATCAGAAAATTACTTGGAAATAAGTCGATTAAAATTAATTTCATAAAGAACCCAATAATTTGATTAATTACAATTTGGTCCAAAAAATTAAATAAATTTTATCCAAAAAGTTCATATAATAGAAGGACACACCTGGGCATGTGCCGTGCCGATCCGAGCCGCTGGACGATAGTGCGTGCGATGACTTAAGACCGAACCCAATAAGATATTGGTCTCCCTCCTTTCAAAGACTATTGGTATCCTTTGAGGTCAAAACCCAATTTCCAAACTTCCACTATATAAACTATACTAAAGTTTCTTAACTTTCCTGTATGGGATAAGTGATGACAATTTTCAATAAATCAAAATTTTCACTAGTTTATAGTTTCAAGTGGGTTACCTTAACATATAATATTTCATTCAATTCTAAATGGTTTTCGATAAATAAATATATCACGTTAACCACCTCGTAGAGTAAAACGTGAATATGTTTGGTCCCATTAAAATTGAAGTACGGGTCCCACTAAAATTGAGGCTCAAATTTGACCCATTTCACTTTTTAATAAACCATTTCCGACTATCACTCCCCTATTCGCACCAGAACATATTTAATGTTCGTGCTAATTCCAAATTTTTCACTTCTTTTCACACAATTTGGTTACGTAACTGTAAATTTGAAGTGATGTGTGCCTCACTACAGCGAATTATTGTAACTCTTGGTAACCATTGTTTCACATCTATAAGGGATTTGTGATTCTTATTTGAGAGATACTTTTGATATAAATGTTGACATTATGCAAGAATAATGTCATTTGTTCCTCTTGATTTTCCTAGATTATAAATCAATCACTCGTCTCATTTCTTATAAAAACTTGTTTATACTTTGTAACTCTCGAGAGAAAAAGTATATACCTCGAGTATA